TTCTTCCTTTTCTAGTTTTTTAAGATGAAGCGTTAAGTTGTTTATTTGGGCTCGTTCTTGATTTTGGAGGTAGGCCCGTAATGATATGAACTTTCCTCTTATGACTGCTTTTGCCATGTTAAAAGTTTTGATATGTTGTACTATCATTATCATTCGTTTCTATGTTTCTCTTGATCTCTCTTTTTATTTCTTCTCTGACCCAGTTATTCTTTCATAGCATGTTGTTTAATCTCCATGTATTTGTGGTTCTTCCTGATTTCTTTTTACAGTTGATCTCTAGTTTCAAAGCATTATGATCAGAGAATATCATACGATTTCGACCCTCTTATATTTGTTGAGGCTATCTCTGTGTCTCAGTATGTGGTCGATTCTTGAGAATGTTCTGTGTGCACTAGAGAAGAATGTATAGACAGCAGTTTGGGGATAAAAGGCTCTGTAAATGTCAATTATGTCTAGTTGGTCTAATGTGTCCTTTAAGGATGTTATTGCCTTATGGATTTTCTGTTTAGATGGTCTGTCCATATCCGATAGTAGAGTATTTAGGTCCCCTACTATGATAGTGTTTTGGTCTATTTCTCTCTTTAGTTCTATTAGTAATTGCTTTATATATTTTGGGGCTCCCTGATTGGGAGCATAGATATTAATAAGTGTTATGTCTTCTTGGTGCATGATTCCCTTTATCATTATGAAGTGTCCCTCGGTATCTTTCTTTACTTTTTTTATTTTGAAGTCTCTTTCATCCGATATTAGTACCACTACTCCCACTTTTCTCTGAACGCCATTTGCTTGAAATATCATTTTCCGCCCTTTCACTTTGAGCCTACATTTGTCTTTGGAGGTGAGATGTGTCTCCTGGAGGCAGCATATGGTTGATTTTTTTTTTTTTTTTTTTTGATCCATTCTGCAAGTCTGTGCCTTTTTATTGGTGACTTCAGTCCATTTATATTTAGGGTGATTATTGAAATATAGCCATTTTATCTTTTACTTTCTGGTAGCTCGGTGTTTCCATTGCTTCCTTGTCCTTGTGTTTTTATTTTCTTTATTTTGGTTGGCTTTTATGGTTTTTCCCTCTGGTCCTTCTTGTTTTATGTTATATACTTTGGTTCTGAATCTTTGGCGTGTGGTTACCATTATGTATACATAGTTATTGTATGTACTGGTATGCTTTTATTTTTATAAATGGGATCAACTATATATAAATATTGCTTTTCAATTTATTCCATTTTTAAGTATTTTTTCTTCTACTTATAGAGGTATCTCTTTTTATGTAATGTTTTACTGTATAGATGACTTTTTACCATTATTCTACAGTGGGAATTAAGAGTGTTTTCTATTTTTCAAAAATAAACAATGTATAGCATCAATGCTAATAATAATAATAGCATCTGAGTTTACATACATCATCTCATTTAATTCTCAGACAAATGTTAAGAGTAGGCACTGTTTTTGACTTCTGTTGTATGGATAAGGAAACATGCATTAAGAGATATAACTTGTCCAAGTTCACTTAGCTAGTAAGTGGCAGAGCCAGGATGGAAACTGAACCAGGCCAATGTGCATCTTGGTGCAACATATAGTCTCTATTTATTATTGGCTGACAGTTTATTTCTGTAAAATTAATTAGGATGGTGTTTATTGCTGTAATTCTATATTTTATAAGAGATAGAAGCAAATAATAATATATATTTATAAATATTTATTATAGTATATTTAGAACATACAGAGGGCCTAAAAAGAATGTAAAAATCCCAGGAAACCAAATCACACAGAGCCATTATTATTATGACATCGCCATGATTATTTTGAAGGAGAACTTTTTTAAATTAATTTTTTTCAATATTAGAGATCTCTAGGATTGGCAAAATGGAAATTGGCTTAAAGATGTACAGAGATTACCTTTGTTTCTCTCTTTTTTTTTTTGGTAAAGATTTTCATGCTCGTTTATGATGCTTTTGATTTCTCTAACAATTTTGTAGAATTAGGTACCGGTAACACCAAAAATCAATTACCCTTGTCTTACATGGGTACCTTTTGATCACATAATTGTTTCATTTTCATTCTCTACGTGTTATTATGAGTTTTAAATGTATATCTTGTATTACTGGATCATATTACTCAATAAACCTTGGAAATGTGAGCCAGTATTTTCCCTCTAGAATGTCTCTGTTGATTTTTCCATAATGATTTTGCTGTTGCATGCAAGGTGCTATGTTGATTCTTTTTTGAGAGAACTTACAGAGTGATATTCTTTAAACTCTGAGTTTGATATGTTGTAAGAAGAAAATTATTTCTTTATATGCATTCTACTGCTGATAATTTGAAACTCATGTAGTATGTTAGAATATGTAATTTTTCTAATGGGTTTTTAAGTGCATGAATCTTTAACCAGTGGCCATAAATTATAAACAATAAAAAGCAATTAGTATTTTAAAAATATTTCATTTCTTTTATAAACATTATAGGTATCTGTTATGCGTGATGAGGAGAAGTTACTGAGGATTAAATTTAATGAACTGGAGAAAAAGAAAAACCAGTGTTCTCAGGATATAGATATGAAACAGCGAACCATTCAGCAACTCAAGGTAACAGTTTTGTTTTTAAAGATAGTTTAAATAGAGTCTGTATATTTTAGTGTCTAAGTAAATATATCAGTGTTTATAACATTCTCTTTTTGACCTTTTCTGGAGTCGAAAAATAAATTGGTTAAAATTAAATAACTACTAGTGATTTACCTCTTGTGAATAGAGCATGGAAAGGGAAAAGTAGTAACTTTGCAGTGGAGAAACCTGGCAGACACCACCTTAACCAAGTGTTCAAGAACAATATCACCAGCTGCAAGTCAAATTGATACATGTACTTCCTGATTTGATGTCACCAGAAGGGCACATCTGTGTGGTATTCTTCCCCCAAATTCATTTCCTCAGTCTAATGGTGAGAAAACATAAGACAGACCCAAATGGAGGATGTCCTAAAAAATACCCAACCAGTAAAAACGATCAAAGTCATTAAAAAAAAGTTACCAAGGAACTATCACAGATTGGACACCAAGGAGACATAATGGCTAAGTGCAGTGTTGTATCCTGTATAGAATCCTAGAACTGAAAAAGGGCATCAGTGAAGAAACTCATGAAATTCAAATAAAGTCTGTACTGTTATTTATAGAAGTATAAGAATGCTAATTTCTTTTTTCTATACAAAAATGATTGTTTCAATGTTCTAAATAACAGCTTCACAACTCAACTGCTGATTTTTCTGTGTCCAATGTTAGTTTCTTAATATTTAAATCAATATATCATGGTAATAGAAGATGTTAATCATAGGGGAAGCTTAAGAGATTATACAGAAATCTCTCTATCTTTGTAACTCTTTTGCTAATCCTTTGTAATCTCCGCTGTCTTTGTAAATCTAAAATTATTTCAAAACAAAAAATAAAAAGAAAATAAAACTCAGGTCTTGTAAAAAGTATTTTTTTTACAGGACAGTTAAGCAAACTTTCTAAACTTTCTAAATGGTTATATTTTACTCCACATCAATTAGTTGGATAAGGCAACAATAAAAGAAAAGTTGTGTTCTTTGTATGTTTGCTTTTTAGTGAAGCAAACTAATGAATATTCAGGTATAAACGTTTGATTTAAATTTTTAACTAAATATAATACTAATAAAGCAATCTGTGTTCTCATAATACGATTCAGAGATATACAGTTTCTGAAGTGATCCATTCTAAGACTTATAAAGTGAGGAGATAGTGCTGAAGTTAGATGAGATAAGTAGTGAGGTTGGATTACCTGACAGGTTAAAATTAGAATTGAAGGATTTCCGGTACGCATAATTTAATCTTACCTCTTAAGACTCTGGTTATTTTTCAAACCTTCCATCTACTTTCCATGTAGGCAATGGAGGGTTCTATTTTTCTGTATTTTGAATTTACTGATAGGAAACTTTTTTGATTTTTCTTGTTCCTCCTTTGTTAAATACTTAGTAAACCTCCATGTCCTTATTTTTGCTTTTTATAGTGAACGCAGTAGCTTAAAGTGTTAAGTAAGATGACTGGGCAGTAACTTTGAGATAGTATAAAAATATAAAGTTATTATTTTTTTCTTATTACACTCTCACCCTTCCCTTTTCTCCACGGTAAAAGAAACTTGGAAACTTGAGACTAATAGCCTTGTGGGAGACAGATTTCAAACCTAATATTGAACCTTGTTTTTAAGTTCCACCATTAAATATTGTGTTTGTTACATTTGCATTTAATTCATATTCTTTCATTTTGCAGGAGCAGTTAAGTAATCAGAAAGTGGAAGAAGCTATACAGCAGTATGAGAAAGTATGCAAAGGTCAGGAGCAAACCACTCACTACTTGTAGTACTAAAATGACTGGCAAAGTAGTTATAATAACAGTTGATTTAGCATTTTTCTTTGAAAATTCTAAAGTAAAGTAAGGGCAGCATATGCTCATCTGTAACTTTATCAAAAGAGAAAAACATTGATTCTGATGAGTAACTTATCAACGAGTAACTTTATGCTTGGAAAAATAAAACATTGAGAAATATTCAGTCAAAGCAACATTGATTTCTGTTTCTATCTAGGTACTGGCCATTATTTTTGAAAAATAAAGACAGTCAGAGTTACATAGATCACAAATGAATGGAATAGATTTCTAGACAAAATCATGTAAAGAATATAGTTCAAATGAAATGTCTTTAAAATTATATTTTATGAAGTTTTTAAAAAACATTTATTTAGTTTCAAATTGTATGTGCTGAATTATTCTTTTTTAATTCAAATTGTATTGATTTTTTATTTAAAATGTTATAAAAATACCTTTGTAGATGAAATCTATGTATTTCTGTTCATAAAATTATGCTAATTCCTTGCTATCACTCACCCCTTAACAAAAAATTGCATTTTCAGGTCCTGAGGCTTTCTCTGGCTTCTGTGTTTCTTTTAAATACTGAATGCCATTCACTTGGCTATCTTAATAAATTAAATTCTTTTTTCAAAAAAAAATTGAGATACAATACATATACCATAAAATTTACCCTTTAAAAGTGTACATTTTAGTGGATTTTAGCATATTCACAAGATTGTACAAACACTACCACTATCTAGTTCCAGAACATTTTCATCACCCCCATAAGCCAGTCACTGTCAACCACTAGTCTACTTTCTGTTTCTCTGGATTTGCCTGTTGTAGACATTTCATGTAAGTGGTTCATAGAATATGGCCTTTTGTGTCTAACTTTTTCACTTAGAATGTTTTCAGGTTTCATCCATATGGTAGCAGGTGTCAGTACTTATTATTTTTTATGGCCAACTAATATTCCATTGTATGAATAGACCATATTTTATGTATCAGTTGATGATATAGATTATTTCCACTTTTTGGCTTCTGTGAATATTTGTGTACAAGTTTTTGGGTGAACATATGTTTTCAATTCTCTTGGGGCTATATATCTAAGAGTGGAACCACTAGGTCACATGGTAACCGTGTGTTTAACTTTATGAGGAACTGTTAAAGTTTTCCACAGTAGTTACACTTCTACCAGCAGTGGATAAGAGCTCCAATTTCTCCACATTATTATTAACACTTGTTACTTTTTCATTTTTAAAGTCATATCTTTATTTGTTTCTTAAGGCTACTGTAACAAAGTACCATACTAGGTAGCTTAAAACAATAGAAATTTATTCTCTCATAGTCCTGAGAGCTAGAAATCCAAAAATAAAAGTATCGATATGTTCCTTTTGAAGGTTATGGGGAAGAATCTTGTCGTTTCTAGTTTCTGGTGGTTGATGGCAATGTATCAAGCATAACTCCAGTCTGCCTTTGTTTTAACATGGCCATCTTCACTCTGGGTGTGTCTATCTTCTCTCTATGTATTTGTCCAAATTTCATTCCTCTTGTAAGTATATCAGTCATATTGAACTTAGAGCCCACCTCAAAGACCCTATTGCAAAGACCCTATTTCCAAATAAGGTTATATTCATAGTGGGTGGACATAAATTTTTTGAGAATACTATTTAACATAACATACTGATAAGTTATAAAGTAATGTGTCATTGTGGTATGTCATATGTGCATTTCCCTAATGACTAATGATATTGAGAGTCTAGTCTTGAGCTCCTGGTCATTCGTACATCTTCTTTGGCTAAATGTCTCTTAAGTCCTTTGGCCATTTTTAAGTTGGGTTGTCTTTTTATTATGGAGTTGTTAAGAGTTCTTTTTATGTTATAGATACTAGACCCTTATCAGATGAATGATTTGCAGATGTTTTCTCCCATTCTTTCGGTTGTTTTTCACTTCCTTCATATGTCCTTTGATGTGTAAATGTTTTTAATTTTGGTGTAGTCCAATTTACCTATTTTGTTTTGATTGCTCATTCTTTAGGTGTGTGTCTAAGAAATGTTGCCTATACCAAAGTCATCTAGGTTTTCTTCTAAGAGTTTTATAGTTTTAGCTCTTATATTTAGGTCTTTTATCCATTTTGAGTTAGTCCATTTGAATATAATTTTGTGTTTTGTGAGAGGTAAGTGTCTAACTTAGTTCTTTTAAGTATATGGAGACCAGCTCTCCCAGCACCATTTACTGAAAAGACTGTTCTTTTCTCCCATGGCATTGTTTGTGCACTTTTGTTGAAAATCAGCTGACCATGAATGTGAGGGTTTATATCTGGACTCTTAATTTTGTTTCATTGATCTACATTCCTATCTTTATGCTGGTACCACACTGTATTGTTATTGTAGCTTTATATAAATTTTTAAATGAGAAGTGTGAATTCTCCCACTTTTGTTCTCCTTTTGCAAGGTTGTTTTGACTATTTTGGGCTTCTTGAATTTGTACATGAATTTTAGGATCAGCTTGTCAGTTTCTGCAAATGAGCCAGCCTGTATTAATGGGGATTGTGTTAAATCTGAGGACCTATTAGGGGAAATTGCCAACCTAACAATATTAATCATGAATGTGGGGTATCGTTTCATTTAGCTAGACCTTCTATAATTTTTTCGATGATTTTTTTTAGTTTTCAGTATATAAGTTTTGCACATCTTTTGCTAATTTGTTTCTAAATATATTATTCTTTGTAGTGCTTTTGAAAATGGAATTATTTTCTTAATACCATTTTTGGATTGTTCATTGCTAATATATAGAAACATAATTGTTTTGATTATATTGGTCATGTATCTTGCAACCTTGCTAGTTTATGAGCTCTAATAATGTTTTCTTTCCTTTTTTTTTTTTTGTGGATTCCTTAGGATTTTCTATATACAAGATCATGTCTTCTGCAAATAGAGTTAGTTTTACTTTTCTCTTTCCATTCTTTTTACCTTTTATTTTTCATTCTTGCCTAATTGCCCTGGTAAAACCTCCAGAATAGTGTTGAATAGAAATGGCGACAGTGGACATCCTTGTTTTGTTTCTGGTATTAGGAGGAACTTTTCATTCTTTCACCATTATACATAATGTTAGGTGTGGTGTTTTGTAGATGCCTTTTATCATGTTTAGTTCCCTTCTGTTCCTCATTTGTTGAGTATTTTTATCATGAGAGGGTGTTGGATTTTGGCAAATGCTTTTTTTTGCATATATTGAAATTATCATGTGATTTTATTCTTTATTAATACAGTGTATTGCACTGATTGATTTTCATATGTTGAACCAAACTTGCATTCCTGAGATGAATTCCACTTGGTCTAGTGTATAATGCTTTTTATATGTTGCTAGATTCAGTTTGCTAATATTCTGTTGAGGTTTGCATCTATATTCATGGGAGATATTGTTCTATAGTTTCCTTTTCTTATGCTGAGTGGTTTTGGAGTCTTACTGAATTCTGAACCTGAATGTCTCTTTCTGCCCAAACTATCTTAACTTTATTATCTATGTTTCTACTATGGATCACTACTGTTTCTAATGTTTGGACCAGGGATTAGCAAATGGCTGCCTCACTAAATCCAGCTTACTGCCTAATTTTGTAAATAAAGTTTTATTGGAACATAGCAACGTATTCTCTTCTATATTATCTGTGGCTTTCACATTACAGTGGCAGGTAAATAGTTGTGACAGACCTTAAAATAGCTACTGTCTGACACTTCACAGAAAATGTTTGCCATCCCTGGGTTTAGACTCTAAATATCATTTCCCCTCGCCCTCAGATTCAGTACCTAAATTCCGTTACTACTTTTTCCTAGTGACTCTTCATATTTGTCCTATCCCTTTGCCAGGCCTTATATCAAACTCACTCTCTTGATAGCCACACAGATGGATTAATTTTTTTCTAAAACTCTGTGTTATTTTCCTATTAAAAGTTTTCAACCATTTCATATTACCCACACAATAACATTCACTCTCTCTCTAGCTTGACATTCCAGCCTACCTTTTCATCACCTAGTATTGCATAACTTTTTGTTATGGCCACACTAATTTGTTTTGTTCTTAATCTTACCCTGCTCCATTTTGCCTCTGTTCCCATGATAAGCTAAATAAAAGACTACATTTCCTTTGGAAATGTATGATCTCAAGAAAACACCTCAGCAGAAATTGCTAACTAAAACAATGAGTTTTTATAGATTGGGGAAATGTTGAGAAACTTTTCCATATAGCCATATGCGGATCCACCTTATCTCCCCCTTCCTCCTTTTAAACCTCTTTCTTTTTAAAGGCTACGTAGTATTCTATTTTATTAATACTGAAATATCAATTTATTTAATATGGCCTCTTTTTTTAAAATGGAAAATAATTTATTGTAAAAAAGCCTTAAGTAATCTGACAAAATTGGTTAGGCTAGAGGAAATAAAACTGATTTTAATATGTACACAAGAAAACACTATTGCAAGGAATAGAATCCTTCCTGTGACCAAAGACATGATGTTGATCATAAATGAAACATATTTCAGAGTTCAGTAAAGGGAATATTATATGCTAATTTAAGGTACACTTTCAATTGCTTGTAAAGTTGAGATAATGATTCCAACCGTCTTAAGTTTTTCCAAATTTTAATTTAAAAAGAAGAGAGTCAGAAGGTCAATACTTGAATACCCTTTATTATATACACTATTTTTTAATATTTTGCCATATTTGCATCTCTTTTATCTCTCATATATGTATATATTAAACTGAGCAACTTAAAAGGTATTTGCATGCATCAGTGGTACTTTACGCATAAATACTTTATCATGAAATTTGTAAGGTAAAGACATTGTCTTACATAAGCACAATATCATCATATCTAAGAAAATTAACAGGACATTTTACAGTCTAGTCTTTGGTAATATGACCTCTTTTGATGAAAAGATTTTTTCAGACATTTTTGTTATAGACATCACCATGGACGTTTTCGTCTTTGTGTACATATGTAAATATATTTATAGAGGGAATTTCTAGCAATGTAATTGTTGGCCCAAATGATGTGTATTTGAAATTTTGAAGACTATTGCTATTCTGCCCGTCAAAATGGCTATACTAGTTTATATTCACATAATAGTATATCAAGTGCCCGTTTCCCCACATTTTGCCAGTATTACGTGTTACCAAATTTTAAGTTTATTGCCAGTATGATAAGTGAAATGGTATCACATGATTTTAAGCTTTTGTACTTGTTTTGTAGACATCTGGTATACTGGTATTCTGAAATATAGTTGAACTATAACTGAGTATTTCTAATCTAGGGTTTTGCATGACATTTATGTGTCATTTTTATCGCTAGCTCGTGTAATGTCCCTTCTTCTTTGTACTTGTTCTCAAATGTTATGCTTAAGCCTTTCCTCCTTGAATCCTTCCCAGGACATTATAGCTCTCAGTGATCCTCTCTCCTGAATGTTAAGCACTTGACTGCTTGTTCATTCGACAGTCACTTATTTAGCTATAACTCATAGCTATCACTATGATGAGATATCTGTCTCATAGCTGTCTTTATGTTGCTTTATTTTTTGTTTTTGTTTGTTGCATATTTCTGGATTCTTTCCTGAAATAAAATGTTAATTATTGGAGGCATCAACTGATAATGTAATTCTCTTTTTTCTTTTACTGCTCCTGCCTTTCAAATAATAAGCGGATAGCCATTGGCAGGTTATTGGTGTCTTGGGACTTTACTAATTGATAACTAGATATTTAAACTCTTTCATTCTGGTCCTCAAATTTAGTGCAAAATATAGAGTGGAAGAGGAAAGGGATTCTTAAAATAAGCTTATAAAATTACTTAATTGTATAATATGAATATATTTGAAAATCATGCTTTTTGAAAGGAGTTGATATGATAATACCAAGACTCCTTTCATTTTAAGACTCCTCTTAGAATTAATACATCAATAGAGAGATATACTGAAAATTACTTATATGAGTAAAATTGTTTGTAAAGCATTATTGTCATTTTTCAAGGGCTGGAAACAGTAAGGCTGGTCACGCAGTCTTTTCTGAAGAGCTGGTTTTAAAAACACTAGAAATAAGTATTTCACTTTGAAATTTTTTCTATAAAACAATTCTTGAGATTTAAAAACAAGTCAAATTGGGATTGAGCCTTTTTTGTTTTTAGGAGATAAAAGTTTTAGTTTGAGAATATTAACACTAAAAATAAGTGTTTTGCCAAATAATGTCTTTTTCTAAATCCCAAGATATGTGCTTATTAGTATAAATAGTTTTATACTTTGAAAATTTGTTAATTTTATCTAAAAAGATTTCTTTTGCATCTATCCATCCATTCTTGTAATCCTCCAAGCATCCACCAGTACATCAGATATTTATTTGGTGCTTCATGTATGCCAGTGCTGTTCTAGGCATTGAGAATGTAGCAGTGAGTAAGACAAAGTTTCTGTCTATATAGAGCTCATATTCTATTATAGTTAATAAAAGTGTATTTTAATTTTAGAAGAACTCAAAAATTGGATATCTATATTTAGATGTAATTTCTAAAATGTTCCCCCCAATTTTTAGATCTAAATGTTAAAGAAAAAATAATTGAAGACATGCGAATGACACTGGAAGAACAAGAACAAACTCAGGTAGAACAAGATAAAGTGCTCGAAGCTAAATTAGAGGAAGCTGAAAGTCTGGCCACAGGTAAAACAAGATTGCTTAAATGTCCAAGGCATACACGTCCATTTTCTTATTTTCCTGGATATCATTTAAAGTAGCATTTATAATAATTCATAATGAAAAAGTATTTGTGTTTTTGGAATATCTTGTCACTTGCCATTTTCCAATGTGATAAAAAATGTTTTATCTAATTAAAATTGTATATAGTAAAGAAAGAAGAAGGACATGTTCATAATAACTGGATGATAACTTACAGTATTCTCTAGACATTAAGAATAAACTTTCAACAGTTTTAAACCTCTAACTAGTTCTTAGTATCATCTTGTATATTTATCTCAATATCAATACTCTAATTTTGTCCTTCAGAATATCATCACAGTTTTTTATTTTTGAGAACTACATTGTTTCCTCTATAATTAATGTTGACATTTGTTTATACTGTATACTTTGATTACTATTCAGTGGGTTTCCTAGAGGTCCTTGTAGATCCTCTTCTCTAAGAATCTGGTAAGAACTCTTAAAAATGCAGCCCTTGTATAGTCTTAGTTCTGTCTTGGTCTGTGTTCTTTTCCTGGATTCTGCTGATTCTTGTACAGAGCCCATGCCTCATATATCTCTAAATGTTTTAACTTTTTTTACATGTGCTTTTAAAAATAATTTTATATTTTCAAATCAGAATTGGAAAAATTGAAGGAAAAATGCAAAGATCTGGAAACCAAAAATAATGAAAGGTCAAGTAAAGAACTTGAGGATAATACAGATATACTTAGTAAAAAGCTCAGTAAGCTTCAAGATGAGTTACAGGTATGATTTTATTTATATATGTATGTATCTGTCTATATATTATATTTCTCATGAGAGGAGAATTCAGTAAATATTTTATAATTAATTTAGATATGGGTAAAATAATTCGTAGGAAGTGTTACTATATTGATAATAATTTTTTAATATACATTGAAATGACATGGGGAGGAATTTCCCAAGATTCAAAGTACTAATTGCCAAGGAATATACAGTGGTTGGATCTTCAATTTTATATTTTATGTATTTAATACTTAATACTTTCATACTATACCTTATGTCTTTGTACTTATTTTTCTACTCCTTAAGCTTCTTACTCATCAAATATGGTTATGGAGAAGATGACTATTAGGAAATGACTATTTGATTATTGTCACAATATATAATTATTAACTTGGAAAAGAATAGAGTTGTGTATATCTGGACACCGGAATATATTTGAAATCATACTATATAGAAGATATTCTGTTTTGCATTTATATTTTTTCCATGTTCAACTCTAACATACTATGTATAAAATACACCATGTAGGAAAAATTTTTTTAATGAGAGTTACCAAATACTACTTAAAATTTTGTGCATCAGAAGTTGCATTCATAACTAGATTTGAGATTGAATAAAATATAATAATGATTTTGAAATGTTTGCTGCATCTAAATTATTTTCTTAATTTCAGGCTATCCATAATCAGATACTGAACAAATACAAAAAATTACTTTCTTTTGTAACTTAATTGTATATTCTAGAATTACCCTTTCCACTGTGAAAATCCAAAAGAAACTAGAACAAAGTAAATACTCCATTAATTACGAAAAAATACATTAACTGTATTGAGAATGTTCATATTAAGGAGTATTGGTATGCTTTGCATTGTTCTCAAATGATACAATCACTTATCTTAGATTATAGCCTTTGTAATCCAGGAATGGACTGTCATAGCTAATCTAGTACAGTGGTTTTAGAAGCTTTTAAAGCAGTGATATATATCTATATATATTTCAGTGGTATTATTGTTTTTGTTTCAAATGAGGTTTCACTTGGATTTTGAATGTATAAATTAGATAGATGCCTTTGAACCCAAAGGATACGTGGAAGCCACTTTGAAAATTACTAATGAACTACATTCTCTGTACAGCTGTTCTCAATGTTCTTTAAACTAATAAATGTCCCGAAACCCGAGTTATGTTTTACTTGGCATCCTGTATACCCAGGAATATTTTATTTTTGGAACCATACAGTTAGAAATGACCATCACAAACCAAGGGTTGCTTTTTTTTTTTTCCTTTTTGGGTCTCTCATTTTGGGTCTCTAACTCTTTCAGAAATTTAAATTGTTTATTTCTTCTTACACTCACTGATGAAAGAAAGTTCTTAAATAATGGACTTCATAACAAAGTAAAGTTCATAAGGGAAATATTGTATAGCAGGGGTCCCTAAACTCCAGGCCGCAGACCAGTACCAGTCCATGACCTGTTAGGAGCTGGGCCGCCCAGCAAGAGGTGAGCAGCAGGTGAACAAAGCTTCATCTGTATTTGCAGCCGCTCCCCAGCACTAGCATCACTGCCTCAGCTCCACCTCAGATCATCAGGCATTAGATTCTCACAGGATCACTGGTCCCTGGTGCCAAAAAGGTTGACCACTGTATAGGAAAGCAAACCAGCAACATTCATTTTATAATCTGAAATAAACTCTGATCTTGTCATTGCTGAAAGAAAAGCATTTAAGCTTTTAAAAAAGTGAAAAATAATGGGGTGTATGAAAATGGTATAAAAATCATTTTATTATCTACTTCTTAAGCATGTGATAGTTATCTGTACTGTTTATATATACAGGAATCTGAACAGAAATATAACTCTGACAGAAAGAAATGGTTAGATGAAAAAATGATTCTTATCACTCAAGCAAAAGAAGCTGAGAATCTACGAAACAAAGAGATGAAAAAATATGTTGAAGACAGAGACCGTTGTTTAAAGCAACAAAATGAAGTGGTTGGTAGCAATTATACTTTCTCTTTGATGTATTTCACCTGCTTTCTTGGGTATGTTAAATTATCCCTAGGGTTCTTATCAATCTCTGCATGGTTGACTGTTTTTATTTTTTAAAGGCAGCTTTTTTTGTGTGTTGTGAATGAAAAAGGGCCTGTGTAATAAACTTGCCAAGCTCAGCGGAGCTTGGCATAGTAGGCTTGAGAAGCTCAGTGACCAGAAGTTAACCACATAGGATAATCTTATTACTGATTCCTAACTGGGCAGGCCATGGCAGATGGATAGTCACTTCCCAGGTGTATAGGTTCCTTAGCAAAGGTCATTCTTCACCTTAAGTGAGCTCTGTCCATTGTTCTTATGCAGCTCAGGTAACATACCTTTAAAATGTCAGAGTAATTTTCTTTTCTAGACTTCTAAGGCACAGCCACAGGCACCAGAGCACAAGGCCCTCAGCGCATGAGACCACAGAACCCCTCATTGTTACTTTGTTCTCTGAATACCATCTCTGTGTGCTGTAAATGTTATTAACTATCCTGTACCCACCAATGTAAAAGAAGTATGTGTTTCTCCATTTTGCTTTTTATCCAATCCTAGAGACTTCCCCACTTTCCTATCTCCTGCCTCCTTAATCTTCCACAATGGATTTCATGTACCTTTCATCTACTAACATTTTCTCCTTTGATTCTAATGTGTAAAAGGGACTGCAAAACTGCCATTCTCCTGAGCATTTTCTCAATCCATTGAGATCTTGTTTCTGTTCATGTCCTTAAAAATTCAGCTCTAACTTTTATAATAAATAAAACTTTTCTTTAGGTTTTAAATGTTCTTTTGTTGACACAAGATGACTCTTCTGTCCCAATTTATCTTATAGTTCACTAATGTTCTTATTTTAACTTTTCAGCCTAGTAAGCAAGTTGAGGAAACATCTAATTTCTGTCTAGATACAGAACTTAAAAATCTCTTCCTTTTGCTTGCCACAGGATTATTTGTGGATTATATTGTAAAACTTTTTTTTTTTGTATTTTGAAGTATAGATTCTACTAACATGGTATGTATTATTATCTCATATGCCAATTTTGTCAGGACTTTTTTTTACAGTCAGCTAGTTTCTAGCAGACTATAGGTAGAAATAGCCTTCAGTTTTACATTGACTAGCTTTATGTCCTATAGCAATTCTATCTTAGCTTGTTTTATTTCCTCCTTGTTTAAACTGACAGCTTAATCTGTTTGACACCCAATGTTGACCATCAGAAAAAAGAGGTTCATTGATCCTAGAAAAACTATTGAGCAACACATTAATATCTTTAAATGAAAAACTGGCTCTCTATTTACAGTGATAGTAATTTGGCAGTAATTGCATTGTCATCCGTTGGTATTTCCTTTGTTAATGAGAAAATTTTACTGATAACAGATAAACCTTATAGTGAAAACAGGAATATTAATTTTGAAAAGATTAAAGATGATTTTCCCCACGGATTTTTTAAAACATTTTCACCTTTTTATTTCAAAATCATTTTATTTACCGGAAAGTTGTGTAACTAGTAGAGAATTCCTGTATACCCGTCACCCAGCTTGTGATGTTAGCATCTTATGTAACAACAGTGTAGTGATCAAAACCAACAAATTAAAATTATTATAGTACAGTTAGCTAAATTATAGATCTTACTAAAATTCCACCTGATTTCTCACTAATGTTTTTTCTGGGTTTAGGATCTAATCCAAGATACTACATATTTATTTGTCATCTTTCCTTAGAGTCATGACTCTTTTTGTCATATGCCAAATCATATGACAAATACTTAGACTAATACTTGTCATTACTAAAGCTCTGAGATGTCAGTATGTTTCGTTTTATGTGCCAGCTTCATGTGATTGGAGGTGTGCCTTCAGGAAGTGTTGGTTTAAGCAGGATTCTGATGCATCTGTAGTAACAAGAAAGGTTCTTGCTGGTTCTCTGTTCCTGTGCCACAGCCCAACACACTGTTCTGAGCAATAGTAAGATTCAAGAAATGAAACTAAAACTGTTGGCTGTCATAGACACTCCAATTCCAAACCAGGTATAGGGCCACTTCCTTTTCCCAGTCAGTAGTCCATGTGTCAGCAAGTAAAGCTACTTTGAAGTTTTAATACTAGAGGAAGCTAGCTGCTTCCTTTTCCCATATATTTCTTTATAATCATACCTAGGATAAATGTGTCTGCCATATTTAAGAAATAAATTGTTGACTTTTTAAGTTTTTAAAATTGTAACATATAACAGTAAGTAAACAAAACAAACATAGTTCAGTGAATTATTATAAAGCCAGTACCCACTTAACTGTGACCCAGTTCAAGATAAAGAACATTGCCAGCACCGCAGAGGCCATCTCTTCTACTTCTTTCCCAATGGTAGTAACAATTCTTTTAATGTTTTAGTTTAATTCTTTGCTTTGGGCCATTTTTGAATTTTACATAAATGGAAACAATTTGTCTGTTCCTAGCTTTTTTCATTCAGTGTTGTTTGTGAAATCATTAATGTTATTTTATGTAGTCGGAGTTAGTCCATTTTCATTTCCAAATGTTTCAGCGTATGACTCTACCACAGTCTATTCATTTTAATGTTGTTTAATGGTTATTTCTTGTTTGGGGCTGCTGAATAAATTATACAAACATTTGCGCATTTCTCTTAGTACACATGTGCATGTATTTGTTGCATATTTAGCTAAGAATAGAATTGCTAGGTATAGGGTTTACATATGTGGAACTCTAGTAGAATGCCACATTGACTTTCAAAGTAGTTGTACTTATTTATACTCCAACTGATATTGTAGTTGCTGTATAGTCTCACCAACACATGGTGTTATCAGTCATTTTTTATGGCTTTGATGTGCTTTTCCCTAATTAGTTAGGTTGAAGATGGTTTCATTTGTTTATTTGTTCTGCTTTCACATGTCCCTTTGCATACTATTTTCTCTTGAAATGTCCAGCTTTTTCTTGTTGATGTAGGAGTTGCTTATACTTCCTGGACAGGAACCCTTTGTCTGTAATGTATAGCAAGTTCCCTCTTTTCTAGTTTACTTTTTTACTCTCTTATTGCCTTTTTATGAAGAATATATAATTCTTGAACTTATTTTAGTTTATTTTCCTAATCTTCTCATTAATGAACCCCAAGGACGTGAAGATGTTCTCATACTTAGACCATAGAAATGATTTTTGTGTTGATGTGAGATAAGAGTGAATGGGAGCAGAGTTTGCCACCCCAAAATATGCTGCTTTAGGATATTGATTATTTTTAAAAAAACATAAGACCTGGGAGAAGCTGTGAAAACCAAGTCGAAATTACCCTTCATAAAAGGACATTTACATTTATAAGGGCAATTTCCATTTATAAGGATGTTCCCCTCACTCTACCAGGCCTGCTATCTCTATGGATGGAAAAGGCAGGATTTAACTCTGCATAACAATCTCACCGGTATTCACACTGCTTTTTCTGGTGACTTCCTTAACTGAGTCTCCTCCCCCGACATTATTTATCTTTAGCTGAGACTAGATATTTAAGGCGATGGCTTCTGCCATCTTGCAAGTTAGTATTCCTGGGTCTTTCCCATGTTTGCAGGAGGCATACATGTTAGTAAACTTTGATTTGTTTTTCTCCTGCTTATCTGTCATGTATTGTTTATTAGTCCAGTCAGAAGAACTTGAATGGAAGAAGATAATTTTACCTCCCTGACAGGGGTCAAGGCTGGTTTTTTGTTGTTGTTGTTGTTTGTTTTTTTAATGTAGATCACCAATTTTCCTGGTAGTGTTTTTTGAAATAACTGTTTTCTTTCCCACTGCTTTGCAACTTTTGTCATAAATCACTTGTCCAAGGATTAATTTTTATAATATGGTATGAGATTAGAGTTGGGGTTTATTTTCTTTTCACTTGGCTATTCAATTGTTCCAGCACCCTTTGTTGAAAAGACTGCCCTTTCCTCCATCAAATTTCTGTGGTATTATTGTAGAATGTCAATTGACCATATATTTGTGGACCTTCCTTTGTTCCACTGATCTCTATTCTTACACCAATATCACACAGTCTTGATTATTATAGTAGAATTGAAAGGACATGGTGTGATTCCTCCTACTTTGTTTTTCATTTTCAAAATAATTTTGATTGTCCCAGATCATTTGCATTTCTATATTACAACTCTTAGAATCAGCTTTTCCATTTCTTTAACACACATGCACACATACCTGCCTGAGTTTTGATTGAAATTTCCTTGATGCTTACAAGAAGAAAATTCTGAAATGTTCTGAATTAAAATTACAGCTGCCAGAGAGTGAGAGAAAGTGATAGAACAGTTAGCCTCTTAATAATAGCTATAGGCCAGCTCTGACAAAAGACAGCTCACATTTTTGTATATCTTTTGAAATTTAGGATTAATTTCCAGGTGGCTATTTCCACGATTATCCAAAAGAAAATAGCCAGATGCCATCGAACCTCAGGAGTTTCTACTTCTTATTTACACATGAACTTTCCAACCCGTTGCTCATAGCTAATCCACAGGAGCTGACACTTCTTCCTCACAGACTCTATGCTTATCCCCGAGCTGGCCCCACTTCAGCTTCTCCCACTTGCTTTGTGTATAGCTAATGTAAATTCTTTCAGAATGCCCCCGCTCCCCCTCCCTCCTCCTGCCCCACCCTACATACACACACTTGATTTATAAAAACACTCAACTTCTAGACTGTGGACATGCTTTCTTTTCACTTGGCCATGCTGCTAGTGGTTCAGACTTCATGCCCTAGGACCAGGTCTTTCTTGCTAGCAGTGGTCTAATAAACCCTTTCTTCTAAAAAGTCTTATAGCTGTTTTGTTTAACAGCTCTATAGATTACTTAGGAAGAATTGACATCTTAACAATATTGAGTCTTTTGACCCTTGAACAGATTATCTCTCCATTTATTTGAGTGTTCTTTAATTTCTTTCAGCAGTGTTTTTATAGTTTTTTCATGTTTAGGTCTTGCACATATTTTCTTTAATTTAGCACTGTTTCATGATTGTTTAAACCTATTTTTAATGGCGTTTTTTATTTTCCTTTCTCTATTGTTGCTATTAGTTTTGTTATTTGTTTTACTGTAATTTTATCCTCTTATTTCCCAAATATTGGGGGAAATGCTAATATTTGTTTGAGTTATAATTTTTATTGAGAGAAGTGACCAGTAAATTGACTTTTGGAATGAGGTGGCCACGTGGATGTTAAAATATATATAAAGGCATTATGTATTTTGTTTTGCATGTACAGTAAATACTTTATCTAGACTATACTATGTAATCTGTTATATATCATGTTCACAGTTGTATTTGTGTTATTTATAATAAAAATTTCAAAAAATTTTTAGATACATAATGTTTCAAGATTTATTTTAACATTTTCTCTATTTCCTTGTTAGGAAATACTTACAGCACAGCTGGCAGAGAAAGATAATAATCTTCAAAAGTGGCGAGAAGAACGGGATCAACTGGTTGCAGCTTTAGAAATACAGCTGAAAGCACTGGTCTCCAGTAACTTACAGAAAGATAATGAAATTGAACAATTACAAAAAAAGATCACATCAGAGGCCTCTAAAATAGTCAGTAGAAACTTATTTTTTCTATGCCTTTTTTAAAATTGAAAATAGAAAAATTTCAGAATTATTTGATTAATTCCTAAAGGCTAAAAAAGTAAGTTTTGGTAGACCAGAGAAGAATCAGAGTTTGAAAAATTATTTGGATATTTTTCACGAATTTTGAGTTTTTGGAATTTATCATTATGATTGGTTCAGAGATAATAATGTCTTCTAAATAGAGTTGTGAAAATTAATTGCGAGCATTTGTAAAACAATTAGCACAGTTTTCCCCACAGTGAAAGTATATGCTATTATCTCCTCATTATGATTTCAGTAGAATCTTATTTATAAGGCAATAATGGGTTGGTGACATAAGATATGCATTTGACTTTTGATTTTGATAGCTGTAATGAGAAGGCCCACGTTGGAATTTATCAGGTTTAAAAATGTAATCTGATACTTCTTTATAGATCCCTGAAGCAGGGTTTAGGAATAGAACATACCCTGTGACTGAGAAAGTAGGATAACACTACTGTGCAGTAAGAAAAGTGTTAGTTGTCAATGTGGTCTTTTCTACTCTAATGCATCTCCAAGACTCCTTTAGTTTTTTAAAATTGCGTTATCAGAGTTCAAATTCCAACTCAGCACAGACACCTCTAGTTCTCTCTTTCCTTACCTGGAAAGTAGGAATAATGATTCTTGACATATCTAACTCAGAGTTACATTGAAAGTAAAATAAGACAATATATGTAAAACACCTTGGAAGTTGAATGTAATCTTTTACGTTTTCCTTATATCAGACTCAGAAAAGGCTGGAAAGTTTCCTGAGTCTCTAAGGATGAAAGAGAGGAGCAAGGAAAGTTACATGGTCACTGAAGATGTGTTTGATTACTTCCTCTATTTAATCCACCCAAATCTTGATTTTATATTCTTAGGTGAAGTGTTTTAATCTACTTCTGTTACAGTGGCTTGTTGCTCTAATATTTCTTTACTTTAGGAAAAAGAAATTATGAATATCAAGCCCAGACATACAAGTTCAACGGATACTGGCAGAGTTAAAACTGAACCGCAGTCAATGAGTTTTGAAATTTCCAAGAATGAAGTAGAGGTGGGCATTTGGTAACATAGTACGCTTTTTTTACCCTCTTTACCAATGACCATTAATTACCAAATAACACATGGAAGTATAATTTAATCAATTGTAGGTACCTTGCTATACAGTTATCTACATGTGTTCTCAGCTGTGGGAAGGAAAACTAGAGGCTTTTGAGGAGAGGTGAAATTCTTTTGGGAGATTTTTTAGGTCTCCATATATTAACCTCTCAAAGTGATATTGATCTCAAACAACAAATCTGTTAATTTAAACTGGTTGGTCAGAAATAGGAAATCCCATAGAAGATAAAATATACATGATTATGTACTCTTACGAAGTCCCTTTAATTAGCATCTGGCAGAGAAAGATAATAATCTTCAAAAGTGGCGAGAAGAACGGGATCAACTGGTTGCAGCTTTAGAAATACAGCTGAAAGCACTGGTCTCCAGTAACTTACAGAAAGATAATGAAATTGAACAATTACAAAAAAAGATCACATCAGAGGCCTCTAAAATAGTCAGTAGAAACTTATTTTTTCTATGCCTTTTTTAAAATTGAAAATAGAAAAATTTCAGAATTATTTGATTAATTCCTAAAGGCTAAAAAAGTAAGTTTTGGCATCTATTAAATAATATATTTTTTTGAAATCATACCCATTTAATAACTGTCAGCAAATCTCACTAACTCATAATGAATTTCCTTAATTTGTGATGGGCATAGGTTTCTGTGAATAACTTTGGATAATACAGAGTTTCTCAGATTACATATGAAATAAATAAATAATTCTAAGTCACTTAAAGCTTTGAAGATAAAATTACTTAAAAAATTTTTTTTAACACATTTATTAGGATTAGTGTTGGGAACCTTGCTAAATGCTGCGAATACAAACATAAATAAGACATGATCGCCATCCTCAAGAAGTAAAGAATCTAGTAAGACACATGCATAAATGACTGCCTTATTTAACTTTACCTTATGGGCAAGTGTTAGGAAGAGATTGCTAAGAAGAAACACTGCCTGAAGATAATACCGTGAATTTTGCCTGAATGGTAGTGGATGTGGATTAGAGAAAGTAATGTCATCCTGGGTCTTAAAGGTGAATAGAATTTTACCAAGCAGATAACAGGAAGAGAGGACATTTTAATCTGGAGAACTAACAAGCCATTTCTTTTCTCTTGGCCTTTGCTTGATAGTTTTTGGTTGAGTTTCAAATAATTAGCATCGACCTTGGAGACTAATACAAATCATCATAGAAAGGATTAATTCTTAATTGCACAGTCACATGTGGAACATTTATTCTTTTATAAATTTATGCTGTCCTAAAACCTCCTGATTTCCTATTGAGAATTCCAGCAGTTTTTATATATTTCACAGTTTTAGAAAATGGTGTTTTTAGGCCATTTTGTGTATTTTTCTTGCCTTCATGAAATCAGTATGCTCAACTGGGTTGAAAATCCAAAATGATTTATTCACATAGCTGATAATTGATTCTGGGAGCTCAACTGGACATATATGTGGCCTCTCCCTGTGGCTTGGATTCCTTACAGCACAGTGGCTAGATCCTGAGCTGGGGCATTTTGAGGGTGAGTGTCCCATAAATTAGTGTTCCAAGAGCACAGGGTGGAAGTTCAAAGGCTTCTTATGATTGAGCCTCAGAAGAACCATGATGTTACTTCCACCACATCCTGCTGGTCACGGATATCATTAAGGCCAGCCCAGATTCAAAGAAGATGAATGAAACTCAGTGGGAAGAGTAGCAAAGAATTTGCAGCAAACTTTATAATCCATTTACAAACTAGGTACTTATTAAAATTTCTAGACCCTTTCCTTGGAGAGTTCTGATATAGGAGGTTTGTGGTAAGGTCCAAGAATCTTCTAAACAAATTCTCTAGATAATTATTATGCTCATACAAGTTTGGGAAATACTGATCTCTAAGTTTCTCTTGATTTTAACATACCATGTTATAAACCTGGAGAGGTTAGATGGTAACTCAGTCTCTTTGTCCTTGTCTGGCGAATTTGACCCAAGCACACTTTTTATCTTTTCCAATTCATTGTCTTTAAAATGTATTTGAGAGTAAATTCCTTGCAATTTATAAATTCATATTCTGCAAATTAGATTTTTTTTCCTTTTTAATTCTGTTGTAGGATGAATCTGTAGTCCTTGACTCTTGTGAAGTGTCAACAGAAAATAATCAAACTACTCGATTTCCAAAACCTGAGTTAGAGATTCAGTTTACACCTTTACGGCCAAACAAAATGGCAGTGAAACACCCTGGTTGTGCCTTACCTGTGACAGTTAAGATTGCCAAGGCTCGGAAGAGGAAGAGTAATGAAATGGAAGAGGTAAATGCTTAACCAATGAGTGAATATAACAAGCAAACATTATTATCATTATATATAGTTTTATAGTAAAGTCTTTTACACTGCCCTCGTGTTCATAAGCACTGCAGAGACCAACATCATAATTTATGGCATATTCTTTACTCTTTAAGAATATCACTATAGTTTAATAGTCTTCAAACAAAAAGCTTATGTATAGATATTAAAATATATAGCTTATCCCTTACTTCAGTGAGGTTGTGTTAGGTCAAATGATGGTGAGTTTTATTGGGGAGCTATTTCAGTATATCTGTCTGTTCAGACTTAGCCACGTCCGCTCCCATGGAAGAGAAAAATGGTTGATAAAGAAATTATAGAAATTGAAACACTAACTTGTTTGAGTATAATCTTTGTTATTTAACTAAAATCTTAGGTCTCAATGGTCATAACCGGTACCTTTTAGAAGAGAAATTCTTTTTCTAATAGCCAGTATATTAAAATTCAGACCTCTATTTAGTGGTAGGGTAAAAACTATTTACTTCTTACTGCAGCTTTCTGATTGTACGGTTATCAAGCCTTCTACCATACCACATAAACTTTCTGATCCTCAGTTTCTTTGTTTTGGAAATAAAGGAGTAGATATAATATGTTTAAAATGCTTAGTTTTTTCTCCATGTATCGTAGATACATAATAAATGGTAATATTTATTTTCATAGTTACTTGTTTTAAGTTTAGACCTAAATATTAACTCTCCAGCACAATAACTTTATCTCCAACATTTTTTTTTTACTTCTTTAAAGAGTAGTATATTTTCAAGCTGGTGGAAGAGTAGAAATAGTATTAACCATATTCCTGAGGCTCTCTGTCAGGTAATAAATATGCTAAATGAATATTATTTAGTATATTTTCTGCTATACTTAGAACATCTTTAGAGATTGTTTTGTAGAGCCTTAGTTAACTTATTCTATAGTTAATTTACATTTAATACATTTTAATATACCAAGTATTTTATCATCTATGTTGACTTTTCCTTGATTATTTTTTAAGGGAAAAGGAAAATTTACTGTGTACTCACAGGGTTAAATACAATTATTTTATTCATTTTACTGTTGTTATATATTCCCCATGTGTATTTCAGAATAGATATACAAATGGTTGTATGGTAAATCAGTTAAAAATTTTAACTGATTTTGCTAGCTCTTCACTGCTGTAATAAACTAGTATTGTAAGGTCCCTGTGAAAATCATGTATACAGTGCTATATTCTACTCCAGTGAAGACACCAAAGAGCTCTTTATTGAACACTACAAGTGTGATGGGGTTGTACTTTCTTCGTTTGCTTCCCATGATTGCCATCTGTCTTTCCCTTTTAAAGAGAAGCCTGCTGTTTATGACTTCTGCTTTGTAACTTGAATTCTGGTCTTTTCTCTGCTTCTCCTTTTTTTCCCTTTTATGCTTATAATCTTTGATAGAAGTAGAATTTGTACCAGTTCACTTATGTTAGTATACTACAGAAGGCTTTTCCTATGATGTCATGCCTATTTAGTAGGGAAGAGAGAGTAAGTTTCTTAATTTTCACATTTTACCTATGCTTATATTAAAGATTTTGTTTGTTTTTTTTATTTTGATTTCAGTGCTGCCAAATTTCAATTAGAGGTCTTAGACATAGATACTTTCAGGATTTGGGAGTTGAGGAAAGCACAGGTATATTACTGTGCTTTATTTTATTTTGTTTTATTGGTGCCTTCTTTTAAAGATAGGGTTCAAATAAAAGTTGTTATCCCTTCTATCTCTTATTTAGCTCTCTTATAATTTCATTATTTATGGTATGTGAAAAATTCATACCTTCAATCATTTCTCAGTATATATGTATATTAAATCACCACATTGTACAACTTAAACTTATATATGTTATATCTCAGTAATATCTCAGTAAAGATGAAAAAAAATTCATACTTTCAATCAGGATTTTGCAACTTCAACACGATTGATGTTTTGTACTAGCTACCTCTTTCTTTTGGAAGGCTGTCCTGTGCAGTATAGAGGTGTTTAGCAGCATTCTGGCATCTATCTACTCACTAGTTGCCAATAAAATGCCCCTCCCCCAGCAATGACAGCCAACAATGTCTCTAGACATTGCCAGTGTCCCCTAGGGTCAGAATTGCCCCTGGTTAAGAACCATTTTCTTTCTTAAAATATTGTCAAGAAGTTAACCAGTGCTGAAATGTATTATTTTTAGGACTTGGTGAAATGTGAGAATAAGAAGAATGCTACACCCAGAACTAAGTCCCCTGTTTCAGAGCAGAGAAATTCTTCTGTCAAAAAAGAACAAAAGGTTTGTCTTTTAATTTGCCTAAAATTGACCATTTTTGTATAACTTATATTTATAAAGTAGAATATGAAAATAAAGATGTCAAATTTCATTATTGATTATCCAGAAATCCAGTTTCGTCCGGTTATAACTCATTTTTTTAATAGTTATAACTCATTTATTTTCCATTACTCATTCATCTAATTCACCTTAGAATATAAACTTTAGCATTAGGCCAGCAGCAGGCAGTTCTTGATGTGTTCACTTCTGACTTAGCATGTGCCTATTACACTCATTTTGACATCCTCTGGCCCTTTCTTCCCTTTCATATACTTAGTCCCATGTTTCCTGCCTGAGAATTCATAATCTTTGGCCTCTTTAATTCACCCATGGCTATTACTATTGCTTTCTAACATTCCTCATCAATAATTACAAAAAATGTTTGTTTATTAGGGGTTCACACGTTCATCATCTCAGAAGACATATTCTTTACGGAGTCAGGCATCTGCAATTAATATAAACTTGGCCCCCAAGAAAAAAGAAGGAACGCTACAGAAATTTGGAGACTTCTTACAACATTCTCCAATAATTCTTCAATCAAAAGGTTTGCAGAAAATTAATTAAATGACCTTTCATGTTAGATATAGGGTGTTTTCTAATATCTGATTGGTATGGAAACTCAACAACAGTGATTATTTCAGGTAGACATTGTCCTCTGTTAGGTACTGTGGGAGGAAACATGGAAGAATGATAGGCCTAGGTGTTCACTTTTTAATAGAGAAAGACCTATATTTAAGTAATTGATCCAGAGCTGGCTGCTTAATACAGTTATAGAGATACAAGCAAAGTGCTGTGGTAGTATTGGAGGGAAGCAAGCTATTCTGATTAGGAGGCTTTGGGAAGATTTTACGGAAGAGGTAGGATTTAACTGGATATTGAAACGTTGGCAGGATTATACCTTCCAGAGATATCACTGTTAGTATCATGGTATATATTCTATTAATGTGTTTTTCTATGCATAGATAAACATTACCTATTCATATATAATATCTCAAAAACATACTTCTATAAATGTCTATTGAGTTTAATTGCTTAATGCTTTTTTCTTCATAATAGCCATATTAATACCTGTGTATTAATATATGCTCAGATATACACTCTATACATGTGTGTATGTATATATATAGAATAGTACTATATATATATATATAGTACTATTCTATATATATACATACACACATGTATAGAGTGTAAGTATATAGTGTATATATATATATATATATATATACACTATATACTTACACTCTATACATGTGTGTATGTATATATATAGAATAGTACTATATATATATATATAGTACTATTCTATATATATACATACACACATGTATAGAGTGTAAGTATATAGTGTATATATATATATATATATATATACACTATATACTTACACTCTATACATGTGTGTATGTATATATATAGAATAGTACTATATATATATATATAGTACTATTCTATATATATACATACACACATGTATAGAGTGTAAGTATATAGTGTATATATATATATATATATATATACACTATATACTTACACTCTATACATGTGTGTATGTATATATATAGAATAGTACTATATATATATATATAGTACTATTCTATATATATACATACACACATGTATAGAGTGTATATCTGAGCATATATTAATGTTTGTTTATATATATATAAACAAACACATACATATATATGTATACACACATATCTACCATAGGGAACAGTTTTAACATAGGAAGAGTATAGGGAATGTGCAGGCAATTCCAGATACCTGTATGCATCTGGTATGCAGAATGTGAAGAGATTGGGGGAAGGGGCTGGTAGAGGAGCAGGTTTTCATGAGATTACCTGAGTGGTAGCAATGAGATAAATTGGAGACTAGAAGTGAGGAGCATAGGGAGGGAAAGGAACTATCAACAGAGACAGTTGAATTGAGTCAGATAGGTTGTATAAAAATACTTTCTGTAAAAACTTAACCACAGAGGTTTTCACACTTTCTTGGTTCATAGTGCCCTTAGTAACTCAGTCATTTTTTTCAGTGTGCTTCTGCACATAAAGAGACCTCTATAATAGTTCCATCCATTAGTATTTAAGGCCAGACAACCACTGAAAATTCAGTTTCTGAAAATCCTGGTTGCAAAGATACATCATCATCAAAAGGAATGCAATATTACTTTGAAACTAAACGAACTATTGTCACTGTGAATATCCAGAGCAGGCTGTTTAATGTAGTTATAGAGATTGGTGGACTTGTGCTCCTGTGAGTTTGCTACAGCCTGTCTCAGTGCACAGTTTGGGAACTGCAGTCCTACCAGACACATTTGTATATATTTTTCAAAATATATATATATTTTTTAAAGGGATAGTTTGTACAAGCATAGAAATAATCTGGAGGGACAAATAGCAAACTGTTAAATGTGTAAATTTGGAAAAGCAGGACTTATTATTTTAGATTCTTTTGTATTAGATTCAATTGTATTGACTATCACTTATATAGTAAAAGGAAATTTGTTTTCAAGGAGAGGGAGTTACCCATATGAAAATTGACTCCCTTACTTAAGATTGACTCAGCTCCTTTAGAGCTTCTCTACCTATATACCTGGTGTAGACTTTTTGTAAATTTATTTCTAGGAACATAAGATATTCCTACTTTGGATTGTAACTATAATGCATGCCTGTTGTTGATCACTTGGAAATATAGGGGGAAAAAAAACAAGATTAATTCTGACAACCAGTTAATTAACTATTTGATATCACTGGTCTTCCTTTTGCCTGTTTCCTATCCATTCAGTACATGGCAGACAAAGTGATCTTTTCAGAGGGCAAACTGGATTATTTAAGCTATAATTTTTTGTTTTCTTGCCATCTTTTTCACTAGAATATAAGCTCCACAAGTGAAATGTCTGTCCAGTTCACGTCCTCAGCTCTTAGAATAGTGGCTGATACATAGTAGTGGGGAGTTTGGTGGCACCAGGCCAGAATCTTGTGTGATTTTATTCAGACTGACCATAGGCAACTACAAAGGCTTTACCTGTTAGGCCTCACTGAGGAAGGCTGCCCTCCCCACACCAGACTTGGTACACAGCCAATGCATTTCAGTCTCTGAAATGAGTTAAGTCAAGGATTCGGGCCCCTGGCCAACTGTGCTCTTATACATACCTGCATTCCCAGCCTAGCCACCTTTATTTGGAGCCTCTTTATTGGGGGCCTTTGTCAGAGAACTTCCTCAGGATCCTCTGCCTTCTCATGACAGGGAAGTGGAGGGAACCTTGAAGATACCTTTCTACACTCTAACTCTACTTTTCGACCCTGGCCCTTCCTCCTGGCCTCCAACTTCAAGGTCCGTAAAACTGAGAATGCATGAGCCTTTTTGTCTAGGGTTCCCTTGGCAATGAGATGACCCTCCCTTGTGTGCTGATCCACATGACCTGGACTGCATGCCATTCCATGGGGAAGTACAGATAAGGGAGTGTGTGAGAGTTGGGCTTTCTCAAGTTTAGCTTCTTGCTTATTCTATTGCTGTAAGTGGTTAAAGGCTGAGTGTTACTTTCATTTTGGCTTGTGTCAGTTGGCTACTCTGACATCTGGCAGCTCAGCTCTCCCAAGCTCAGCTCAGCCTTTGACACATAGATCCTCAATTTAGCATATTTCCTTAAATGTTTTTTCTATTTTAAAAAATATGTAGTTGCTATCATGTATATCGATTTTCTATCCAGAAGTTTCCCCAAATGGAAGTACGTTTTCCATTAAAACCAATATGTGTCTGTTGAAAAAAATAAAACGAATGTACAAATAAATTTAAAAATTCATTTTCCACTGACCAGAAGCAACCAACTGTTAACAGTTTGCTCTCTTTGACTGTGTGTGTGTGTGTGTGTGTGAACTATAAGTAAAGGACTCAAAATTACAAACTACCTTTAGTTAATATTCGTTTGGACATCTTTACGTGAGAGTACTGAACTAGATCTACCACTTTATTTTTAATGCCTCATGGCCCACTGTATGTGGATCCCACATTTTTGTTTAACATAGCATAAACCTCTTTCAAGTCATTAAAGACACCCGAGTTTTACTGATGTTATTTAATTTACCACACCTTTTCACTATTTGAACTCTAGTCAAATGATATATTATTTATTTGCTTTTATTGTTTTTGCTCTTAGTTATTATTTCATGCATTTATTAGGTATTTCACTTTTTTCTTTTTGAATTGTCTATTCATGTACTTTCACCATTTATAAATTACAATGCTTTTGTTTTTAATTTGGTATATTTATTTATTAAGGATTTTAAACTTTTGTAGTTAGAAAATTATTTCAGGACTTAATATTTTTTTTCATAGCAAAGAAGATAATTGAAACAATGAGCTCTTCGAAGCTCTCAAATGTAGAAGTAAGTAAAGAAAATGTATCTCGACCAAAGCGGGCCAAACGGAAATTATACACAAATGAAATTTCATCTCCTATTGATATATCTGGCCAAGTGGTAAGCTACTGTTTCAGTTTTCTTAAAAGTAAAATTGTTCATGTTCTTTTTAATTCTGAAGTATTTATAACAATTCAGATTTTATAATTGAATTTTTATTCTTCAGATCAAATCTCTTAAAACATGCTTTAAACGTTTTACTTTTGGTATCAGATGTGTTAAATTCATAGTAATTAAATGTAAATGCTACATTAATGGATTCAGATTCTCATGCATTGATATAAATCCATCAGTAATTTTAATTCCATCAATAGAATTATCATTATTTAGTAATTTATTTGCTCCTAACATCTATTTGTCTTATATTTATCACAAGAGTTGTACACATCTGCGCCTAAGTGTGCCTGGTAAAAATATAGAATTGACATTCAGTCATTTCCTCCCATTTTTCCTCTAAGTCTTACAGATTCTATTAAGAAAAGACTGTAGTTTGTCACCCTGACTGTATGACTCATTCTCCTCACTCAGAGCAGGCTGTGCTATTACAGGGAAAGTTCTAATTTTCTATCATGCTTACATTTGCCTAGTGGATAAAAGTGAAAATAGAAAAGTAATTAAAGGAAAAGCCTTTAACAGGAAGTGGCCAAGAAAAATCAGGGAACAGTCTTTTTGCAATAGTAGCTATTAGATATAAGATAGACACTTAAAGACAAGTGGAAAGATTTGGGGTCAATTAGGACATGCTTTTGGAAGTACTATTCTGTAGTCACTTTTCACCATCTGTCTGATTAGTACATAATTTCCTCACTTGCCTGAAATGATTCCCTTTTTAGTTGCAATATAATGCTCTTTCTACTTTCTAAGTTGTTATATACTTGTTGCTGTGAAAGATCATTTCTTAAAAATTATTTGAGTCACGTGTTTCCAAATATGTCAGTAGTTATTTCAAACTGTGTATGTCTTGAATTTAATACAGAATGTAGATTATTTTAATTTAGAATTATTTAGTGTTGAAAGAATCTTTTACAAAATCTATTACTGTAGGTGTGCTTATTTTATAGAAGATAGTGTACCTATAGTCCAAGAGGACAAAAAATATAATGTACTTGTTATATTAATTAGTAAGCACATGAACATATCTTTCTAATTATAAATAAGATTTTATTTTTATTAAAAAATTTCAAAATTGTTAATTTCAGATTTTAATGGACCATAAAGTGAAGGAAAGTGATCATCAGATTCTCAAACGACGACTTCGAACTAAAACAGCCAAATAAATCACTATGGAGAATGTTTTAATACAAATTTTATATTCATAATCATTGTAACTTACATCCTGACTTTAAAGATAGTTGTATATATTATGGCATCAAATCCCTCTGTATTGCTGTTTTATACATTGCATAATTTTAATTCAATAAAGAAAATAATTCAACCATTTATTTACTTGCCTACTTTTCCAAAGCTTTTTGTAATAGCTTTTTTTTAAACTGTATGTATTCTGTTATCCCAGGCATGGGATCAGCGAGGATCCTAGGAAAGATGGTATTAATTTTGTTTGTTTTCTATACATAGATGGCATGGATCAGATATTTGGTTTACATTTATTTAACAATGCCTTATGAGTTGTTTTTACTCTGTGAGGAAATACAGATGATTTTACATATCTGTTTGGAGTATAGCTGAGATCCAGGGTATAAGTGCGTACAGATCTCCTGTTGCCAAATACGTACAGTGGTTCCCCCTTAGCCACAGTTTTGCTTTGCTTGGTTTCAGTTACCCAGGTCAACCGTGGTCCAAAAATATTAAGTCAGAAATTCCAGAAATAAACCATTGATAAGTTTTAAAGTGTGTACCATTCTGAGTAGTGTCACTGTCCTACCCTGAGTAGTGTCACTGTCCTGCCCTGTCCACCCTCCATCGCACCCCATCCCACCCAGACATGAATCATTCTTTCCAGCATATTCACGCTGTATACGCTACCCACCCATTAGTCACTTAGTATCCACTTAGTTATCAGATCGAAACTTGTGGAATCACAGTGCTCGTGTTCAAATAACCTTCATTCTGTTTAATAATGGCCCCAAAATACAAGAGTTGTGATACAGGCACTTCAGATATGCCAAAGAGAAGACATAAAGCTCCTTCTTTAAGTGAAAGGGTAAAAGTTTTGATTTACTAGAAGAAGAAAAAAAATTGTATGCTGAAGTTGCTGAGATCTACGGTAAGAACAGATCTATCAGTGAAATTATGAAGAAGGAAAGAAAATTTCTAGTTTTGCTGTCACACTTCAAACTGCAAAAATTTCAGCCACAGTATCTGGCTGATAAATTGCTTAAATTAGTTAAAATGGAAAAGGCATTAAATTTGTGGCAGACAAAACAGAAAATGTGTTCCAATTGACAGCAGCCTGTTGCACCAGAAAGTATTGAGCCTGTACAAAGACTAAATTTAGCAAGGGATCTGAAATGAGTGACCACATTCACATAACTTTTATTACAGTACAATGTTATAATCGTTCTATTTTATTATTAGTTATTGCTAATCTCTTACTGTGCCTAATTTATAAATTAAACTTTATCATAGGTATGTATGTAGAGGAAAAAAAAAGTACAGAGTTTGGTTCTTACTATCTGTGGTTTCAGGCATCCACTGGGACTTCTGTATGCGCATAATTTAGAAAAGAATGTCTTATTTTTTATGCTCTAATAGAGTTGGCTTTCTGATTTTTCCAGGACATAGACGATCAGAAGCAGAAAATTAGGAAGAGGAGATAGCATCTAGCAGCCAAAAAACACATAGCTAGAAAAGGTAGAATTTTAGACCTGGAGGGACCTTTAGGAATGCATTTTCTTCATTTTATATATGAGAAACTGAGACCTATAAAGTTTACTTTCTCAAGGTCATACAGCAAGGTAAATTGAGCTTTGGTTTAAAAAAAAAACAATAAGCACAAAAACAAAGAGGCCTCAATTAGTGTCAACTGGGGCCTTTTAATCTACAAGCATGCATTTATCTAAAAGCTTAAATGTTTCATTGGATTTCTGTTTACTTTATCATAATCATGGCCCTAAGTCAGGAAGAAAAGCTATCTTTAGTTTCTTGTTTAGGAGACACAATACCATATTTAGGGAAAACTATCAAAATAATTATAATGTAACCTCTTAAAGCACTAAAATGCTTTTATTATACTACCTGGTTTCAATCAAAAGACATAGGGTGGCTAAATGGATAAGAAAACAAGACCCTTACATATGCTTCCCACAAGAAACTCACTTCAGATCGAAAGGCACACACTAATTTAAAGGGTTGGGAAAAGATATTTCATGAAAATGGAAATAGAGCTGGGGTAGCATACTTATATCAGAAAAAACAGACTTTCAGACAAAGGCTAGAACAAGAGACAAGCACCCAGTTATCCCACTTTTGGGTATTTATCCAAACGAACCCGAAACACTATTTCAAAGGGACATGTGAATCCATATGTTCATTGCAGCATTATTTACAAGGGCCAAGGTATGAAAGCAACCTAAGTATCCATCAGTGTATAAATAAAGAAGAGGTGGTACATATGTACAATGGAATATTAGTCATGAAATCTTGCCATCTGCAACAACATGGATGGACTTAGAGGGTATTGTGTTGAGTAAGTAAGACAGACCAATGCCATATGATTTCACTTGAACAAAATAAAACAGAAACTCAGATACAGAACATTTTGACAGTTGCCAGATAGGTGGTGGGGGGCGGGGAGGCAGTGAAAAATGGGAAGGAACTGAGAGAAATTGGTAGTTACAAAATAGTTATGGGGATGTAAAGTACAGCATAAGGAATAGAGTCAATAATATAACTATGGTGTCAGATGGGTACTAGATTTATTGACACTTTGTAAATTGTATAAATGTCTAATTACTATGTGGTATTCCTGAAACTAATATTGTATGCCAACTGTAACTGAAATTTTTTTAAAGGAGGAAGAGAAGGAATGGGGAGAAGCAGTATATTGAAGAGGTGTTAAAACTATATTAAAACCAAAATATAAAGACAAAACAAAACAAAAATTTTGAAAAGTTTTAAACATGTATTAAAAACAAAACAAAAAAAACAGTGTGTTACTGATCCCCCAAACAAACCAATAGTCCAGTGAATCAGAATTGAGTACTCACAAACACATGCAGGCGTGGGCACGCGTGCACAGAGTTCAGGTATGTGTTGTGACTTAACTAAAGACCCTTGCCTCCCTTAGTTTATGACCCACAGAGTAGTCAGAGTGATTCCTTAAAATTGTAAGTCACATTATGCCTTCTTCGTGCTCAAAATGTTCCAGTGGCTTCTCAACACACTCCAAATAAAATCCAAAGTCCCCGGCATGCCCTAGAAGGCCTTCCATACTCTGGTACTTGTTACCTCCAACCTTATCTTTGAACACCTTCTCCTTTGCTCACTTAGCTCCAGCCACCTCTATGTCGATCCTTTAACATACCAACCTGAGGAAACTTGCTGCTTCCTAGGCCTAAACTACAGTCCCCGCCATGTAGCCTTATGGCTCAATTCAGGTCTTTAAAAAATGCTAATACTTAGCCTCTTGTATTATCACTCCACGTATCCTTTATTTCGAGACTCTTTATCTTTAGACGACCATTTTAAAATTTCTTTGGCAGTGAATTACCACGAATAACCACATCAAATGTCATTGAGATAAAATATGTACATGGATTGTTGGTCAAAGTTAAAACTAATTTTCAAAATTTTTAATAGAAAACAAAACAAATGAGATTTAAAATGTTTTCTCAGATAACACATGATGTGGGAACTTTAAGAAAAGATACATATTGATCTAGTAGACCAGGGGTCTATTTATTAAACCACAGCCATACCTTTTATTTACATATTATGTTTAGTTGCATGTGGTTGTGAGGACTAAAATATTTATCATCTGGCTCTATACAGAAAAAAGCTTGTCAGGCCTTCTTGCACTAGACAATCCAACATAGATATGCCAGCAGAACTGTCTTCCTTTTTATACCAATAATGTATGTGTCATGATGAAAACAGCCATTATCAGGGGGAATTAGTTCGAGAAGCTTTTTAAAAAGAGCGTGACCAGTTTGAATTATTTGTCTTCATTTGAATGTCTTCTAGAATATATAAAAAGTAATAAAATAAATGTATCTTCCATGCTACATGCATAAGAGCTTCTTGTATCTATGCCTTTGATATATATCTTCCTCAAGATTATCAGTTATGTGTTTAACAAGTGCATATTAAATAAATCTGTAATTAGTTGAAAATAAAGATAAACTGAGAAAGAAGTAGATCTTGGGAAAGTAAGTTTAAAATATTTTTAAAAACACTTTATTTGTAAATAACAAAGATGACAGAAAAGATGCAAGAATAAGAATATTACATGGAATACTCACATAATCTTTACCCAGATTCTCCTATTGTTTTTTTAGATTTATTGAGGTATAGTCGACAATTCTAAGATATTTACAGTGTACAAAGTGATCATTTGCTATAAGTATACATTGTGAAAGGATTCCTCTCTTGCTCCCATTAAGTTAATTAACACATCCATCTCATGTATTTACCCTTTTTTGTGTGTGAGAATATTTATATTCTACTAGCAAATTTCAATTATACAATATGGTGTTATTCAGCAAATAAGTTTTAATAAGATGAAAGGAAAACCAGGGTCTGAGTGGCCACCTAAAATACTCCAGGGCCCTATGTTCTTAGACATGTGTTGACACTCATGGGAAGAAGGCATACCCACTTTACTAGGTCTTGAGGAAATTAAATGAGAAAATATTTAACAAAGTTGTCTGTAAACATGTAAGTTATCAAAATCAGACTGAAACGACTTGACAGTTTTGCCTAGGGATCAGTCTGAGTGTGTGTGTGTGTGTGTGTGTGTGTGTGTGTGTGTGTGTGTGAGCACAGAAAGTCACACAGGAAGTAATTTAGATTTAGGTTTCTTGTATACTTAGCAACTGCTTGATGATTTTCCCTCTGGAAGTTGTAAAAAGGCCTCTAGAAGATGACCGAATTTACCTCTGTAAATAGCTCTTTTTTCTTCAGCAATATTAGAGGAAGAATGATTGTCCAGTATTCACTGATTTAGAGCTTCTAACTCAGTGGTTCTTAACCCTAATAGCACATTAAAATTATCTACAGGTCTTTTAAAAGAATACTGATGCCTGGACCTATTCTAGACCTGAATGAGTTAGTCTGGAGAGGGTCCTGGGTACTGGGCTTGTTAACAAGTACCATTGGTGATCCTAAAGTGCAGCAGGTCCTTACTGCTGACATTGCAAAGGTAAGATTGTCCACCAGATGGAGCCAAAGCACTTCTCCGTGGAAAAGGCTCTACACAAAACCCGTTCTCTGACTTTACAGCTGCAGCAACTCCAATTTATGTAATGTACCAAGCCGGGCAAAC